AGTATTTAGGGTCTTCCTCGAACACCACAAGTTGTGTGTAAGTCTTACCCATACAAGCTACCTCAAAGTGGGTCACAGGCTGTTTTGAGAAGTCAACCTCAACAAGCACTCTACAAAAACCACCCTTGCCTTGCTGCTTTGTAACCAGGTCAGTTCTCAGAGGCTTCCCCACTTTTGAGGCCAGCATTCCAATTCCTTCTTCAGACCAAAGCTGCAATGGTACATTATGTAGCTGAACCCAGACAGGTAGAGTGGTGAATTCAGCAAAATCAAACATGAAACCATGAGAAGGGATCTTGAGTCTAAGCTCCTTCCCATAAGCTTTATCCCTTTCCCTACCCACCACGTCCATTCTATCAATATCATTCTCAAACTTCAGAATAACCCAACCCTTACAATGGGGAATGATTCTACAAGAAACATTCCAGCTTTTGACAATAGCATCCACTGCCTTGAGGCCAGGGAAGCGTCCAGTAAAGCAGCCCACAAGACAAAAACCCCGCAGCTCTTCAACAGGTTTGATAATAGAATCCGGGATATGGAGAACACCTTCACCAACATCATATTGTTTCAGAATCATACCTTGGTCAGGATCCCTATTGCCCTTGAAGAGGTCACCTAACAGTTGTAGTTTTTCGGGTAGTAAACCTTCCCAATAAAGGGTTAGTTTTCTCTCCGAGTGTCGTATCTCTCGAGGAGTGGACGAAGGGAATTAGTTTAATTACTCTAATTAGGCGAAGATTAGGATTGGTTTATGAAAGTCTTCTCGGAACGACAAAAAAGGCAGAGTAAAAATAATAAATAAATTAAGTTTATATAGTATAAGTATAGATCTGGACCCAGGGTCTGGACGTCATTTGAATTTATTTTATCATATTAAATTAGCAATTGGAATAATAATATTTCTATTACTGCTCATCCATTTCTAGATTTGTACTTAATCCGTTGACAATTGAATATCATAGCCTTTTGGCATACAATATTTTCTCAATAAATGGCCAATTAAATCTTTCGAGAGTAATTAACTAGGTAAGGCAAAAACAACAGATTAACCATTCCAACATTAATTTAACATCAAAAATAAACAACCAAATTAGTCCGGACATTAATTTAAATAGAGTAAACTTACAACTTCCGTAAAGGCGGAACAGAATAGACCGGGAGTAGAATTCCTCCAGAATTTATTCTAAAACTACTAAAATGCTAAACTAATATTTAGAAATGGAATATTAAGCTCAAATCCCGAGAGAGGGGATGAAGTGATGTTGTGGATGGGGAGAATCGCGTTGTATTTATAGGAACGAAGCCAAGGCGTCCAAGTCAAAGCGTCCAAGTCCAAGCGTCCAGATCGGGACGCTTGAGCTGCTCTGGCCAACCAGATTTTGCCACGTGTCTTTCTTGGATTGCAAACTAGCCCAGGCGTCCAACTTCAAGCGTCCAACTTGGCCAAGCGCCCAAGTTGGACGCCTGGGGGCCTTGGTCCGTTGGGCTTCGCGGCTGTTTCGTGATTTTGGCCCAATTTCGCTCCGTTTTGGCCCCGAACACTGTTTCTGACCTCCCAGAAGCTCGTTCAAGTCCGAATCTTGATCCCTTGATGATTTATTCCCTTTTTCTCAAATACTTGAACAAAAATGAATGATTTATGATGATTTCATGTGGAATCCCATTTTATGACTCGTAGAACGAAAATGAGAGTTTTATCCATTAAAATCACATTTTATGAGATGATTAAATACTATTTACGTGCAATAACGTTTAGAATATGATGTAAATGATAAGAACGAAACGGACTTATCAAATTCCTCACACTTAAACGTTGCTTGCCCTCAAGCAACAAATTGAATAAGTATAAGTATAAAGACAAATTAATAATTGCAGAGGGAAGGTTTAAGCTACATATTATGAAGGAAAAAAGAAATAAGATAGTCATCAACCTTTTTGTTAAGAGGAAATGAACCTTTAGATTCTCACCCATATTGTTAGAAATGTAAAAGAATTTTGTCAAATCAATGTTTTTACATCAACCTAAACAACCGTAATTTTCCAAACTTTCTTTGGGATAACTACATTTGTAAGAGTACTTTAAAGATCAAATAATTTTTTTTAATGACTAAATTAGAAAACAT